ACTCTAGATGCTGGCGAGGATGTGGAGAAACGGGCACCCTAGATCGGAAGAGCGTCGTGTAGAAGGACAGATAGCATATGTTTGCACGTATAGGAGGATTAGGAGGAACTTAACGGAGGACCATGGGGGAGAAGAAGGGGGAGAATAGTGAGGGAGAGGGAGGGAGGCAAACCATGAGAGACTCTTGAATGCCAAGAACAAACAGAGGGCAGATGGGGTGAGGGGAGGGGGAGGGGAGTGATGGGCATGGAGGAGGGCACTTGTGGGGATGAGCACTGGGTGTTATATGGAAACTAACTTGACAATAAACTATTTAAAATAAAAAAATTAGTCCATGAGGATCAATCAGCACTATTGATACTTTTGGGTGAATTTCTCTATTGAAATAGAAAAACGTTTGGTCTGAAGAAGGCCAAGAGGGAACCAAGACCTTTTTACCTGTATAAATTCCGTGCCACATCGTCCTCATTGACTGCATATCCCTCGGGGTCGTCAGTAAAGCTGAACCCTGTGCCCACCTGAGGATGAATAAACAAGCAGGTATAAACACCAAGAAACACATGCCTCGGAGCCCACAGGGAGATACTGCACAGGAAGGAAATTGACCTTATTCCAAAGGCCATCCCTCTGAGCTAGGATCTCCACCACAGCATCCCATGTGCATTTAGCCATCCCCACGGGCGGATGCTGCATTACCCTGCTCCCTCTCCCCTCCACTAACCCCAAATCAAGCAACAGCACAAAGCTCTGCCCTGGGGTCCGTGGTTGAGCTGTCCTGATGCCACAATGTGGACCCTGCCAGATGTTGATTTAAAGGGGAGCAATACACCTTTCCTGGCCCCCCACTGCAGTATCAAAAGACCCAAAGTTGTCTTGTTTTTGAAACCCGGAGGGCGCATTGCGCTGTCCTGCTAAGAAGGATCTCTCTAGGTTTGGAGATAAAAGACTGTGTCTGTGTGTGTTTTCATTTTTTTTAATTTGTGAGAAATATGGTCACTAACCCCTTCACCTTCAGGAGAGAGGTTTTAAAATAAAGATTAGCTTTAAACGAATACTTCCCTATACCTAGAAGTTCATAAACAACTAAGCTGTAAATCCAGAAGAGGCTGCCACTTGTTTTGTGTCAAAAATTTGTAAGGATGCATCTCAACTAGGTGTAAATATTTTTGGTTTTGTTTTCCCAAAACACACAAGGGAACAGGACATTTCATTCAACTTCTTTTAAGTACGCAATTATAGACTAGGGAAGAGGATGGCTGACAAAACTTGGTGGGAAAAGAGGGAACAGGTATGTTGGACTTTTTTTTCCCTCTCTCTCTCTATTTATCTGTTTACTCTGAACCATCTGGGATGTGAAAAAAATTAGAGAAATTAGTTAGGGGCAACGATACTCCTGATCTGCAGAAGCTGACCCTAAGGTTACTCCTATATTTTGCTGTTTATTGGACTCAATTTCAGAAGAACTTCCAAAGGAGAATCGCACATTTTGCTCCTAGATGGGGCTCATGGTGATAAATGAAGGAGACTAGCTTTGACTTTTTAAATCTACAATTCTGTTAGGAATGTTAGGAATTCCAATACTATATGATAATCCACGATGAGGAAGCCATGTCACCAGTGGAAAGAAACCAATCCCTTATCCTGGATGGTACAAGTCAGTGCACAGGTCATTTCATAAGATTAAAAATATGAGGAGAGCAAGTAGCAGGTAAAATTCTTCCAAACTCAGATTTAATGATACATACTAGAAAAACTACATCTCAGATATGTTTCATAGATTAAATTCTGTTTTATTTTTTTTTTAAATGTTTTATTTATTTCTAGGAGAGAGAGAGAGAGAGACAGCATGAGCAGGGGAGGGTCAGAGAGAGAAGGAGTCACAGACCGAAACAGGCTCCAGGCTCCGAGCTGGCAGCCAGCACAGAGCCCGACGCGGGGCTCGAACCCACGAACCGCGAGATCATGACCTAAGCAAAAGTCGGACGCTCAACCGACTAAGCCACCCAGGCGCCCCGATTAAATTCTGTTTTAAAAAGAAAACCTAAACCTCTGTTTCTTTTCCCTATTTTTGAAAAAATGTTCTTTAAATGTTGATTTTTATTTTTTATTTTATTTTATTTTTTAAATGTTTTCTTTATTTGTAGGAGAGATAGAGAGAGACAGCGTGAGCAGGGGAGGGTCAGAGAGAGAGGGAGTCACAGACTGAAACAGGCTCCAGGCTCTGAGCTGGCAGTCAGCACAGAGCCCGACGCGGGGCTCGAACCCACGAACCGCGAGATCATGACCTAAGCGAGAGTCGGACGCTTAACCGACTAAGCCACCCAGGCGCCCCAAATGTTGATTTTTATTTTTGAGAGAGAGAAGCCAAATGTGAGCGAGGGAGGGGCAGAGAAAGAGGGAGACACAGAATCCAAAGCAGGCTCCAGGCTCTGAGCTGTCAGCACAGAGCCTGACATGGGGCTCGAACTCGGGAACAGCCAGACCATGACCTAGGCCGAGGTCAGACGCTTAATCAACTGAGCCACCCAGGCGCCTCTCTTTCCCATTATTTTTTAAATTACCTTATATAAATGGAAAAGACAAGAGAGACCCACATTGACACTTCACAGGACCGTCGGATACTCACTGGATTATCCACGTAAAGCATGGAAAACGTGGTGGTCCAAGGAAACTCTCGGGCACGCACTAGTCAAACAGAGAAGAGGTTGGAGACTGGACCGTTAACCAAACATCCCACCCGGGGCAGAGCTCTGGTCAGCAGCCCAACAAGCCCACCTGTCCCCATCATGTCAATGAACTCCTGGTGTCCCTGTGACATCGCTTCATCCTCTCACCATTAGGAACAGACACCAGCACCTTGTTCTTCTCCCCTCTTCTCCTTTACTTCTCCTGAACCTAGAGAAGCCCCTAGGGGGTTTCTCCATCTGGGATAAAGTTTGGAAACAAAACCCCTTGCAACTGCTTCCCTTAGAAAAAACTCATCAGCCTCCTGTAGGATAAACCTATCTGTCTGGTCCAATCAACCATTTTTAAAGTCTAAGCCTTCTGAAGTCTCTTCTTTCTAATGCCAAAGAGAACAACTCTTTTATACCTGAGTCACAAAATCGTTCACCCTCCAGATTCAACCCCAGGGAAAGTAAACAATCTTCCCCACCCCCCAAAATGAGATGGAGGGGACCCAGGGTTACAACCAGCTGTGTCTCCTCCACCCCTTCCTTCACCCCTTGTCTCCCCCCACAGCATCTTGCTTCCAGGATATCTGACCATTTATGCTACTGAACCATACGGCGTTCTGTTTACGTGAATAATTAGGGATATAATTCCACCCATTAGTCTCATGCAAAAGAGCTTGCCCAAATAGTAATAAATACCAACTGTTTTCAGCAGCCCAGATTGCTTAAGTCAGCAGCTGACTGTGAGAAAATAGCTTAGAACCTTTCACCCAAATTTCAAGGGAGAAAGCAGCCCAGCTGGGACACTCACACTGGTGGCTCCTCCTTCTTGGACAGATATCGCCAGAAAGCGATGTTTTTATAATCTGAAACTATTAAGCTATTCCTAATGTTTCTGTGTATCCTTTAATTTTTTTTTTTTTTTTTTTTTTCTGGAGCAGATGTGAGGTTCAGGTGAAAACATCTCCGTGGGAAAACTGAGCCCAAGTAATACTTACCGGTCATGTTCCTTGTAACAAAATAAGGTCCATGTTCCACAAAAAGTCCAAACATAGATGAACCTCCTGGCCCACCCTGCAGCCAGAGAACCACTGGAGCAGCCGTCGGCTGTACCTAAAGGGGACCAAGAAGTCAATGACCACACAGAGCGCTAAGCAAAAGAATACACCCAAGCAAACAAATCCAAACCCCATGTCTTTCACCATTGAATATAGAAGCTTTGCCTTCGTAGGCTCCTAGAAACCCACATACTGCTTAGGGCACACCTAGATTTCTTTAAATCTATTTAAACTTGCATTTGACCAACATATTCCCAAAGAGGCACAGCAAAGATTCCATCCTCTTTGGTGATAGTTTCCTTGTTTCACTGAAGCCCAAAATGCCTTTCTGATTTAACTTACTAAGAGGCTACTCAGAAGGACAACAGCATCTTGATTCAGTATGAATTAACTCAGAAGAAGCACAGAGACCCGGAGTCAGTTAGCAACGAAACCCCAAACAAGGTACAAATAGATTTAGGAGACAGGGAAGAGGTAAATAAGAAAAGGTCATTGGCAGGGTTGGGATGATGGAAATGAGTTTCTGGCAGTAGAGTCAATACCATCAACCTCAGTGACACAGGGCTCTTTACTCCTTTCAGATTTCTCTACATATTTATTGAGCACCACGTTTGTGTCAGGGACTATGCTGGAAGTTGCTACAGAGCAGAGCAGTGAATGAAAAACAACAAAAACAAAAAGAAAAAGACTTGTTCTCTTCCGCTTACATTTTCATGCGACACACAGACAACAAAGAAGCCCAATGATTAAAGAGTATGAAGAGGAAATAAAGCTGATGTTAAGAGAGTGGGTGAGGGCAGGAAAGAATAGAGCTTCCTTTAAGTACGGGTGATCAAGGAAGGACTGAGTGAGATCCTGAGTTGAAGGAGATTGGAGTTCTAGATCGATCCAGCCACGAGAGGAGCCAGGGAACAATGCCACAGACACAGGGAAACGGCGGACGGAAATCCTCAGCACAGAAGAGAGCTGGATGTGAGAGCAGAGAATGAGAGGTCACCTGGTGCTAAGTCAGCCCTCCAGAGCAATCTGAAAGGAGCTCAAAATGGCACCTGGGAGGCTCACAGTTGGATGTGCCAGTGAGTGTTCACTGGATGTCGTGACTCATTTGGTGCTCAGTCGGCCTGTCTTAGCAAGCAAGATCTCATTGCTTCAGCTCAGGATGAAATCCTACAACCTCTTATTTAGCCCAGTCACAAAGAGACCAGTCAGTATGTCATTCGAACAGGGTTCTAACCATAAAGAGAAATGCAAGACAGAGATTTCTCCTCTCCAGTCTCCAGAAGTCTGACAAAGTCAGCCTTACAGAAAGGGAGGTGGCAGTGAGAACAGCTGTAAGCTGGACAAGGGCGTCCCTGTGAGGGTCTATCCCGGGGTCCATTCTCCGGCATCAAGGAATTAAGTGAGATAAAATTTGGAAAGCTTTTGGAACAATGCCTAATGTGTGATAAAGGTGTCATAATAAGTGTAAACAATCATTATAGTTAAAGAAACAGGTAGAAAAGGTAGGAGCCCAGAGTCAGACTGGGAACTCAGATCAGCAGGATGGTAGCTCTAAGATGCAGCCCAGGATGATGGAAAAGTCTGTGAGATCTTACCCCAAACTGGATTCAGATCTGGGCTTTCCTATCTACTAGCGGTGTGACCTTAAGCAAGATGCCTAAGCTCTCTGAACCTCAGTTTCTCCATCTGTAAAACGGGGATGAGCATAGTACCTATGTCATGTGGTTGATGTGAAGGCTAAAATTCATCTTCGAAAAGCTCAGTGAGTAGCGTATAGTACGTGTTCTGCACCTCTTAGCTATTGCTGTCATAAAGAGACACTAGGAATTTATAGATGGTTTTAAGATAAACTATCAGGGCGCCTGGGTGGCTTAGTCGGTTAAGCGTCCGACTTTCGCATGGGTCATGATCTCGCGGTTCGTGGGTTCGAGCCCCGCGTCGGGCTCTGTGCTGACTGCCAGCTCAGAGCCTGGAGCCTGTTTCGGTCTGTGACTCCCTCTGTCTCTGACCCTCCCCTGCTCACGCTGTCTCTCTCTCTCTCCTAGAAATAAATAAAACATTAAAAAAAATTTTTAAAATAAAAGATAAACTATCTACAAATGGGAGAACAGGAGCAGCAGGTTGTTTGGTATCTTTCCTTGCACCTACCCATGGCCAATACTTTCCCTGGCCAGTCTTTCACTCATTAGTCCCTTTGCAAATGTCCATAAAGAATTCAAAAGAACTAGGGACTTCTCTTATAAGTTGAAGTAGGAAATATTAAAATCAAAGATGCCCTTCTAAAGCTGCTGCAGGGAAGTAGGGCATTAGTATTGGAATTGGTATAGCAACTGGAATTGGTAGCCCAGCAGATTCTGGTTCTACTTGGCTGCAAAATAGCTGTGTGGCCCTGGCTCTCAGATTCTTCCAGCCCTCGGCTTCCCTGTCCGTCAAATGGCAATAATGGCCACCTCACAGGCAAGATAAAACGTATCATGAAATGATACTGCAAACTCTGCTGGGCCAAATAAACAGAATCCGCTCCACCCTAACCTGCCTGGCCCTGACTGTGTGTGCTCGGCTTGAGTAAAAGTGGTTTTTAGCTCCCATCCCACCCGCGAACGTGCTGTTCAATACCACTTACCGGGACCACCTTCCACTCGTATTCACTCAGCAAGGGAACGTATTAGAAATGGAGAGTGGATGTGGGGATGAGCACTGGGTGTTATGTGGAAACTAATTTGACAATAAACTATTTGTAAAAATGAATAAATAAATAAATAAATAAATAAATAAATCTGGTAAATACAAAAAAAAAAAAAAAGAAATGGAGAGTGGATCTCCATGGATACAGTTCCAGCCTCCCTGGGGAGGTGAGATCCTGTGTGCGCACCCATTCCGGTGGACACCCGGCCCCTGCGTCTTTCCGAGAGCTTCCAGAAACCACAGTGTGCTACGTATGAGCCAGTGGTTCTCAACCTTGGCCACCCATTAAAATACCTTTTTAAACATTAATGCCTAGGCTCAAATCCCAGTGATACCAATTCATTTGGTCTGGGGGGAGGCAGCCATCCATCTTTTTAAAAAATCCCAGGTGGTTCTGATGGGGAGGCAGGGCTGAGAATGTGCAAGGTTTAAAGGAAGTTTGTCCTCTCCTGTGCCCGGGCCCTCTGGTTTTTGCCCTCCTCTCCCCTCACTTCTCATGTCCCTTCCTGTGACCTGGCACGATGATGGGACCTCTGGGCTCTCAGAAAAATAGCCTGACCCTGAGAGGCCACACTACAAAGTCAAGTCAAACACATCGGTGCCAAACATCTTTATTATGCAACTTTGAAGTACAGGACACTGCATTCTTGGAATGCTTCAATAATAAGAGATCAGCATACACACCTCCAACCTCAGTTGACCTTGCTCCTCAAATGTACTTTCCTGAAGGAGGTAAATGAGCTCAGTAACCCTTGAGGAAGCCCATTTTTAAAGAAAACTCCATGCACAAATCTTTCTACTATACACCAACCAACCTATGAACTAATACTACCCTTTTCTGTAGTGAAATGGAAAAGTCAGATGCTGGAAAATAAAGGTTTATATATTCAGTGCCAAAACCCCAAGAGTTGGGTATATTACAGCACACAGACTTTTGTAATCTGATATGACATCCTAATGTCATGACATATAATAATAATTAGGTGAAGAATTATGGCATAAGGCTATTATGTGATCATTCCTAGGGTGATATATTTAGCTCTCAATTGTGAGAATGCAGCCCTCTCCCATTCTCCACTCCCAACTTAGGAAAGAAAAAAAGTAAATGAAGACATCCTGAACAAAACCACATTGAAAAACTTATAAGGAACTTTAATTCACTTAAGGCTTAACAGAGTTCAGGGCTTTTAAAGTACTTATTATTTTGAAGCCATGGTTCCAGAGCATATGGAACCAGAGAAATAGTACATTTATTTCTGTGAAAAGTTTTAGAAATTTTCCTTTAAACTTTTTATATTACAAAGAAAGCACTTATTCTTAATTAATTTTTATTCAGAAGGGTATTTTTAAAAATCTCTTATCCCACCAGTTGTAATCCCTAGAGATGATTGTGGAGATGTTTAGTCTTCCAGATTTTTCTCTATGCCCCCTTCCATACACACATATATAAATATATTTTGTAGATGTTATATATGCTATGTGTGTAAATTCTTTTTTCCAAAAATAGAATCAGGCTATATATAATATTCGATATTTACTATATTCACTTAACATGCTGTGAAAATCTTTTCATACCATCTTTTGGCTAGACAAAATGGCATTCTGGACTTACCACAATGTATTAACGCATTTTACATACAACACTGAGTTCTAAGGTTTAGACAGGTAGGATACTTAATGTTTAAGAGCATGGATTTTGGCATCAGACTACCAAGGTCTGAATTCCAATTATCTCATTTTACAGCTGTGTGCCCTTGGGCAAGTTGCTAAGTTCTCTGTGCCGTAGTATCCTTTGCTTGAAAATAATAGTAATGCCTGCCTTACATGATTGTGGTATAGATTCAAAGAGTTAATATATGCACAGCACTTAGAACAGTGCCTGGCACATCTATTTAAATGTTAGCTCTAGTAATTTTTCTGGTGAGGTAAAAAGACAGGTAATAAATAAGTAATTAAATACATGGGTGATATGAGAGAATAATAGAAAGCCATTAGATTGACTATTTAAAGAAGGTATCTGGTGAGGGACTAACATTTGAGCTAAGACCTTAAAAATAAGTAATCCTCTGCTAATAAGCATGTATATATTTAATTATAAAGAAAATTAAATCTCTATTAATGTTTGTATAGGTCTGAGTGGCGTAGTGAGAACTGATGATCACGAAGAAGACACAAAGAGATTCTAAATATGAGAGAAGGGACACAGAAATAGTAAATATGTGAGTGAGAAGACTCTCCACTGGAGAAGAGTGTGGGCACACAGCTCCCACAAACCTGCACCTTTTGTTGGTGAAACAAGAAACCAGGTCTTTGTCTCAGAAGCCCTTTAAATTCTTCTGGTGACCCCTGGTGGCCAATTCATGAACTTGG